TTCGCGCATTTATGATAACATCCGGGACGAGGCAGGAAAGCGGAAACAGCTGAACGTCACATGAGGTAAATATGCACTACGTTAGAATTTATTCAGCAAACGTGTTTCCGTCTCCCGTTTTGTTCATTAACTACTTTGCAAATCATCCAAAAACCACCTCAAACGAGCGTAAAAACTTTTTAGCGAATTGAGGATTTTCTTTCCGAATTTTGCTGTTTCCATCAGACTTTTTTCACATTTTTAATGTGACACTTCTAAATGCGCATCAAAAAGCCTTGATGGAAACACRGTTAAAGAGAATCTACTTCTCAAAAAAGGCACTGTTTCTTCAGTTTTCTGGAACTGGTTAGGTTTTGCATCCTCGGACTTGAAGCAACGAACACCTCACTGCAAAATCAGTTTGAGGCTCTTGATAGAAAAAACAGGAGTACAAAAAAACTGTTTCAACACCTGAAACAGAGGCACTCCGTTAAGTGGGAAACAAAATCGATGAAAATCGAAAATCGAATTTGGAATGGAAAAAATCGTTGATTTCTTTTTTTTGGGCCATATCCCCCAGCCCTAGTGCAAACTGAAATGAAATCTGTCATTTGTTGCTTTAATTTCACACATCTTTTTCAGAAATGAGTCAGATTATAAACATCACATTGTAAACAAATGAAGGACAAACCATTTTTGAGGTAAACAAAAACAAATAAGAGCAGTTTCCTTGTGATGGTAGGCAACAAAACCCAAACAAATTCTGAAAGTCCAAAGCATCATTTGTTTACCTTCAGTTTGTGTAAAGATTGACTCAACCAGTCAGGTTTGTGTTAGTTGCTGGGAGGTAACATTGAAGAAAACAGTAAAAAAGACAGTAAACACAACAGGGATCAGGTTACAGCAGACTCAACTGGACATCACTGACCAATAGATGCTTTATGACACGGATCAGACAAATATAGCAAACTGTATGACGCTTGCCAGGGTCAATGAACCAGTCAATAACACACTAATCCACAGCTTAAACTAATTGGATTCAGCAGCTAACCAGCTACAGTAGCTCCTAGCATGACAGGTGTCAAAACACAGACATGGAATCAAACAGTCACGTCCTGGCAGAGGAAACATTAACAACAGGTCAGTGGTTCCAGTGAGGCAGTTTCCTGGTTCTGTTCAGCCCACAGGCAAACATCACAGGTGATGACTTACGAGTTAACGGGGAGAAAATCTGGAGGACAGGTTAGGGTTAGAGCCTGAGACCTGGAACAAATCTTCTAAAAACAAGTCAAATACTTTCTTGGAGATAATCATAAAAGCAGCAGAAAGCCCATGAGTCCTGCTGAGGTGGGCAAACGCTGACGTAACAAACCTTTAACATGTGAGGAGGAAGGACAGCTGGGTTTTAACGAGGCTATAATTTGTGTTGAAGATGAAGAAGTGTAACAAAACCTTGTGATCATCATGGCAGCAGAACTGCAGATCAATAAAATTATTAGTCTTCTGCTGGCTCCCCTCCTGCACAGCTTCAACCCWCTGACAGTCACTTCCTGTCTGCTTTAGTGTGGCACACAGGCCAGCATCATTCAGGTTTTATAAGCTTTTAAAGGGATCCATGATTAGTTGTAACATTAGACTTTATTTGATAAAACATATTTAACTGTAAAATAAAGACTTTAAAAATACTGTAGGATGTTTAGTTTCGTAAAWTTTTAAAAATACATTTTAACACGGTCAGAGCCATTTTATTTACACACAAAGCATTCTGGGTAAATGATGACATGGATAGGTCCTCGGTGCGAGGCTGCTAGCGAGCTATATCCACCCTGAAGGTTAATCTTGGACAATATCTGATGATCGACTCTTTTAAATGAAACCAGAGAGCGTTGACTGAAAATATGGTTGGAGGACAACAGCTTAGCTTGTCACACTAGCACCGAGCTAATACATATAAGGCAATATAGCATCGACACTAGCGCAAAGACTAACAG